ACCACTCTGGTCACGCCTGTTGCTATAAGAACTTGAACCATCTCGAGCATCATTTGCTCTGTGCTTCAAGTCGCTACTGATGACGCTGCTTCCGGCATCAGTTTTTGGTGTCTCTCTTCGTCTGATGCCTACCCTTTTACCTGTCCAGCAAGGGAGGCCCTGCCAGTAGCTACGCTACCGCTGGTATAGCTCTCAGGGTCCTTGGCATACTCAAACCCCCTCACCATGATAAGGTGGAGACACCAATGAGGGGGGATATATATATATAATACTTAAGTTTTATATAAGAGTTATGAGACTTGTTTTATTCATGAAAATGGATAAAGGTGTATTTCTGTGTGTGTGTGGGGGGGGGTGTGCATGCATGTAGGACTTAGATTAATCGTCACACAACAAATATACTCACTTTTAATGGTTTACAGTTAGACCTTCTATTTTCTGCTACATGTTTCGGTTGTACAAGAACATCATCAGGCAGTTAATATAGGAATATGTTTAGTCATTGAATTACTGATATGGATCCATATCAGTGCAATGTGTCATACAGATAATAACAGGAAATTTGCCTCTAGTTTGTAGTTATTATAATTAAGTATTAAGTGAGTAATAAAAAAATAAATGACATATATATACCATGTGTCTAAGATATATTAGGAGATATAAGTATGTTAATTATATTACAGAAATATTAAAAGTACTTTAAAATATTTAAAAATATGTTGAAACTATTAAGTATGATATAGACCAGTGATGGAAAATAATATAAGATACAATGAAGAGATAAACACATTACTGAAAGGAGAAGATGTAGGAAGATTTATCAAGTCACAGATAATAAGATTGTTGGGATATGTTGAAAGAATGCAAGATAATGCAATGCAAAAGAGAATGTTAAAAGGAAGGCTATATTCCAGAAGAAGAGAAGGAATACCCAGGGCAAGATGGCTAGAGAAGATGAGGAATAGAGAACAGTGGAGACTGGTTGTAGCGGAGGCCAAGGCTCTCCCAGGGGTGTAGCGCCGAATGGTAGGTAGGTATTAAGTATGAGAGGTTAAGAATATGTATGCCAAGTTAATTCATAAGGTTCCAGTGCTACAGTATAGTATTGGGCATGTTATGTCATTTGTGGGTCCTTTATTGTTAGAAGCTTTCTGTGAAGTAAAGCCAGGTCGTGGAGCCCAGAGACAAGTTTCAATCATGTATAGTTTGTTAATGCATGATGTATGGAGTATGAATTGTGTCATTGTATGATCATAAGATGTGACGTATGCATTTTGCCTGGGCATATGTATGTTTGATGTGTTCCACCTGTGCATTTGTTTGATGTGGTCTTTCTGTATTATATCACTCTTTAAATTTTGGGGTAGGTTTCTTTTCAAGGTTGTGACATTCAAAACTTGCTCTTGTTGTTGGTTAATCATCACAAGTTGTTTATGCAATAAGTACATGCAAATAGTGAACATAAGCATGTGGTTACTCTGAAAAAACATTTAATGCTCTGTATTCTTTGCTTTAAGTTCAGAATGTAATAGTTCAGGAAAAGCTACTTGTATATAGTTTCTCATTTGCTTGAGTAGAGACATTTGAACAAATATGTCTAATAGAAGAAAGCATTTTGCTGGTATTCTGTTAGTTTTCTGTTTCCTGTTATGTCCTGAATGTATGTTATGAAATTTAATGTGTGCTGTTGCAAGCATGTATGGTAACTGAGGCAACTGCAATGACTTGGAAATTATTGCTGTTTAATTTTTTGAGTGCGGTTCAAATTGTTTCCATTTTCTCTCACAGGAGTAGGTTTTAATTTCTTCTGATTGTTATCCTTATATATGTCCGCGCCATAGCTCAAGCGGTTAGTTGCTGGCTTCCCACTGCGGCAGCCCGAGTTCAATCCTGGGTCTGGTCACGTGGGATTTCTGGTGGACACAGTGGTGCTGGGGCAGGTTTTCTCCGAGTACTTCGGTTTTCCCTGCCAATCTTCATTCCACAAAATTCTCCATCATCGTAATCACACGGGGCAGGTACAATACGCCAATCAGTGGCCGCCATGCCGAGTGGACCCAACTTGACTCCACCCCCCACTATGCAAATTAAAAAAATTATCCTTATATATATTGTGATGGGTACCTCTACCCTATAGATGAGAGTCAGTTCCCATTACCTTCTTGTGGCCATACCTAATTTATAGTTGCATCATCCTGAGAGAGATTCCAGTGTCATGCGTTCTCTGGACTAGGTTTGTCAGATGTTGTTTATGCATGACTGCCCTTCAGCTCAGTGTTTTCTCTCCTTATCATGGGAAAACTTAATTCTTTGTATTTAAACTCTTGACAAATGATTTGATTTTATGTACTCAAAATACTGATATGAAAGTAATTAAAATGTTCAGAAACAAAATCCAAACTTCTGTTTAGGTACATTACCCCTTGTTATCAAGTAAATAAGCTGTGAGTACTTCAGTTTTTATCTGGTGATAAGGGAGATCATCTGGGAGCCTTCTGAAAGTCCTTTTAGTTAGTCAGATGAGAGGGACACAATGCTCACATCATCTCATGTGTGCATGGTCAGACTCATGGCATGATTGACAGGCCTGACAGGCCACAATTAAAACACACCCAGATTACAGGAGATGCCAGAAATTACCCTTGTTGCTACACAGGTATCCCTTGCACCTCTGTATAATGTCCATATACATATGTTGGAGTTCCTTCTTGGAAACCACAAACACTGAACTTGAAACTTTGAACTTTGAAACACCAGTGTCCTCTGCAAGGTGTCTAAGGGATTTAAAAGGAGAATGTTCAAGCAGAGTACCATTGTTTATATGATTGTGTGCATATAGTTTTTTATTTGGAACTCTAACAGTGTGAAATTTATGTTAGAATCTTCTCCTTCTTACTTTCCACATAAGTATTGTACGTACATGAACACTTCTTTCAGTGTATGGTTCCTACATGGCATTTTGACACAAAAATAACATGACTGTTTGCATGTTTAATACAACAGCGAGGGCATGGGATTATAGTCAATGGAAAAATAACACATAAGATCACGTTACAGTATCTGTTCATAGGTCTCTTTGGGTGATACTGAAGAGAAATTGTGATGTGTATAGGATACTGGTCTGCTGACTACACCATGAGTTCAAACATAAGGAATTTCAAGATGACATGTAGTCTGTGTTCCTCCCAACTGACCAGACAAAGCATTTTTTTGGAGGCTCTTGGAAAGTCACTCCGTATTTTACTGTTGCTTCAGTAGCAAATATTTTTCAAGGAAATTTAGATTATTTCAGAAATATAACTTTTTCATACAGTCAACTCTCGATTATCCGGGCTAATGGTGGGGATGGAAGTCATGGTTAATCGAAAACCCGGTTAAGCCAAATTTTATTATACGGGATGGACGACTGTGAAGGGTCGGAGTTCGAGTCCCGGTAGGGTCAAGAATTTTAACTTCTCCAAATCGTCCAGACCGGCTCTGGGGTCCATCCAACCTCCTATCCAATGGGTACCGGGGGCTCTTTCCCCGGGGGTAAAGCGGCCGGGGCGTGAAGCTGACCACTCACCTCCAACTAGTGCCGAGGTCAAGAAAATTTGGATCTATACATCCACTCCCCCACACGCCTTAATGGCGTAGGGCTTAATTCGTTGAGCAGAGGAACAACTTTACCTTTTACCTTTTAATACCTTCATAATACTATAGACCTACCTGTATTTAAATTTATTCATCCTCATTTCTATGTCATCTCATGGCCTATTTAATACTTTCTTTACATTACACTCAGTATGAATTAGTTATTTCAATCACTGTTCAACAACATCCAGCACTTTTTACGGTCACACTTAACACTTAAAATAATT